GAGCGATCATGGTATGTACCGCTTGAAGACGCGACTCACCGATTTCTGGATTATCTTTGATATCCTGCACAGTAGGCGTCCTTTTGTGCTTCGCTTTGAACGCGTGTTCCCAGCTTTTGAGCTCTGCACGAAGTGTATGAACGTCGGTCATCGTCGTGTCTTTCGAACATGGACGCGGTCAGTCGCGTTGAACCGAGCGTGGCCAGTCCTCAACCCCAAAATAGGGTTCGCAGCCCACGTCGCGACGCGTAACTCGCAAAGCGTCCTTAGACGTTGCTCACCAACTTCGACGATGGCAGAACAAAAGAAACAGGAACGCGACTTCACGCCAGAGGTTGATGCTGCTCTTCCTGAGGCTATATCGCTGGCAAAGGTATGCAGTCGTTAAATGCCTCTGCATTTTCTAACTGTCAAGACAGGGAGGCAAGCTCAACGATGCAGTTGACAAGTTGATTGCTCTCGAAAAGCAAACGAGAAATGTGTGTTCCCTAAATTATGCTCATGTCTGTATCGTAACTCTTGTTTAAAGGCCGCCGATCCTAAATCTACCACCCGCCTTGCAACGACAGTCATGGAACTATGTTACGAAGCTCGAGACTATCCACTCCTCAACTCGAATATCAGCGTATTGAGCAAAAAGCATGGTCAGTTGAAGGCTGTCGTACAAGAGATGGTAGAGAAAGCAATGGGATGGCTCGACGAGATCAGACAAAAGGAAGGCGTCGAGAAATGGCTCGAACTCGTTGAAACATTGAGACAGGTGACGGAGGGCAAGGTGAGTGCTTGGATTCGACTTGAGGTTTGCAATTTGAACCGCAATCGAGTAGATATTCCTTGAAACACCACGAGCGCGCGTCACCCGCTCCCTTTCCCTCTACCATGAATCGCAAGCCGACGCCGCCGACTCTCCCGAAAAGAAACAGAAGTCGATTGAAACCGCCTCAGAACTCATGTCCGACCTCCAGGTCGAGACATACTCTTCCATGGAGCGTCGAGAAAAGACCGAATTTCTTCTTGAGCAAATGCGACTCCTTGTTCTGGTCGCGCGCGGAAAGGACGCCGAAGATGTTAAGGAAGGGAAAGATGAAATTAACAGAGGCGAAGCCGATTGGCTTAAAGTGCGAGTCGGTGGAAGAAAGGTCAGCGAGACTTTCTTGAAGGATAAGGCAAATCAGGTGAGCCTATATATGAACGTACGCTATCGCTTGATGATGTACTAAGGCATTCTTAGGACTTGAAATTGAAATTCTACGACCTCATGATTCAATTTGCACTTCACGCCAATAGCTACCTCGACGCCGCTAAATACTACCATACGATCTGGGAGACTCCATCAATACGGGAAGATACCAATGGAGCGGGGAAGCAGGCGCTCGAACACGTCGTATATTACGTCGTTCTTGCCCCGCACGACAACGAACAATCCGATATGCTTAACCGTGTTTTCAATTACCCTGAACTCGCGAAACTGGATCTTCACTAGTGAGCACCTCCGGAAGCTGAATAATGTTGAGATGTCTGATTTTCGCACTAGCAATCTCATGAAATGCTTCACAACCCGTGAGCTCATGCGATGGCCTGGCGTGGAGGGAATCTATGGGCCGACTTTGCGGAGTACCGAGGTCTTTGGCCAAGGCTCGGGCAAGCGATGGGAGGATTTACATACTCGAGTTATCGAACATGTATGTTCAATGATACTCCTGTCTATGTGGCACTTGCTAACATCATGTTCGCAGAACATCCGAGTGGTTGCCGAGTACTACTCTCGTATCCGGATGAATCGCCTTACAGCCTTGCTCGATCTCTCACCCCAGCAAACTGAGGAGACATTGAGCCGCCTCGTCGTCTCGGGGACTGTTTGGGCACGCATTGACCGCCCTGCTGGTATCATAAACTTCCGTAACAAGAAGTCACCAGAAGACGTGATGAACGAGTGGAGTTCTGACATGCAACGACTCTTGGGTTTGGTTGAGAAGACATGGATGGGCATGAACGCAGCTCTTGCCGCGCAATCACGTATAAAGGCTTGATCGAATGTACATTTACCGTAGTAATTCCCCCCGCGTTTCACTCGTTTCAAGGCTTGCTCGATGATGAGATTAAGAAACATCAAGGTTGATCGGATGTATGATACAGGAGGGTACGTTGACGTGCATTTCGTCTATTAAAACGGGTCGGATTTCATTTGGACCCTTCCCATCTTTTGTCATCATCGGGATTGCATGGTCCGGCCTCTGCAAATGAAAAGAATGTGAGCACAATCCTGGCTTGGAACGTTGCACGTACGAGATCGTCTTGCGCTCAGTGGTCGCGACCTCCGTCTTCGCGCGATTGAGCACCTTCTGGAACTCTGAAACGCGCGCCCTCATTCTCGAGTGCATGTATGCCTTAGAGCACTTGATGTGATAGTGAAGGTAATCTCTGAAGAGTTGGATATGCGTGATCGTGGCTTCTGCTACATCAGGCTTTGTGAAATGCCTCGGGAACAAGACTGATCCTTTTAATAACGAGAGAACTTGGGAGGGCATGTATCAAACGTACCAAAGGTGACGTAGCCGATGTCATCGCTCAGTGTGAGCCCAGGGACTCCTCTCAGTTCGAGGGGGGGCTCCCTGTTAGTGTACAAAACTTGCGGTGCATTCTGAAGTGCCGACAGGCGACGGGCATCAACGAATTCCTGCATGATCAGGCGTTAAGTGAGTAAAAACATGATTATAATGTTATGATTTGTCGAAACGCACCTGCAAGAACACTTTCCCAAATATCCGATCAGTCTCCTCTCTGAAGACTGTTGAAAAGAACACAGTGACACGATCGGACGCAGCCTGGATGTAGATCGCCTCCTCGTCACGATAATGAATTGCCATCAATTCGCTTTGCGAGCCTTCAGGTGGAGGATTGGCTTCGAGTTGCTTCTGAGTCTTGAACGCGCGTTCAAAGGGAGCCGCAACGGCGTTCGTCTTCAACAGGGAGAGCTTTCGAACGAAGTCATCGCGTTGCTCTGCGCGTTGGAATGCGACGACATGGTTCAGCGTGTAAGCTCATAGACAATTAAGCGTACAGAACGCACCTCCTTCAGGCGGCGCCTGGTTAAGGTCGATCTCCAAGCTAACATTATAATCTGGTTCCGCGGTTGCTGCGAGCAGCGAGCCATATTCACGCTTCAGCACGTCGAGCGCTCCGTATTGTACGAGTTCATTCCAACAACGTATATGCATCGAAAGGAGGAGGGTTGTCTTGGAATCGGGGGTAGATAGATGAAATCGAACGCCATCGAAGTCGACGAACTGGACGTCCAGAGCTGAAGGTCTTCAAAGTACCATGAGGGAACGAACTGGATACCGCTTCATCCACTTACTTAACAATCTTCTCCAGAACCGTAGTCCGGATGATCGTGTTATGGGGCTAATAGACCTCAGTTTGAAGTTGTTCCTACAATGGTACTATAACTTACTTCAAGGAGAATCATGGCGGTGGTGGTCAAGGTGAGTTGCAACGTTCGCGAGGCACAGTTCGACGCTGACGCTGGCCGCAGCACATGTCATTTCGAATCCGGATTTGCCAGTGATAATAAAATACATGGATTTATACGGGATCATATAACATTTGCATCAGAATGGTACGAATCAATTTAAGCTATGTTGGAGATTCAAGTTCTTAGAAATACAATATTCAAGCGCTTTCGGCCCATTCGAGTACTGCTCTCATGTCGACAGCAGTTTCAGAAGAGCCGGACATTACTACATCTTTTGCTTCAATCTGGCGATGCAAGCGTTGAAAAGCGCAATACAGTCAGAGAGTCGCATATCTTACCTGTTGTGATTGGTCCTGCTTCGACAAACCTTTCAAAACTTGTAATTTCTGTTGCAATTCGTCGCATTTCCTAGAGAAACGCGTCAAACTCGACCTTTCCGGATGGACGGGGAGATACTAACGAGTGGATTGCGGCGGTCTCTTGTTTTCGGAGTCCTAGCTGCCTTTTCATCATTGCCTCGAGGTTATATCGAGCCTGATTTTTGATTCAATACAGCAAGAAATTCTGCAAAGAATACTCTTCCCGAACCTGTACGGGCCTCAAATCATTGGCAGCGCTCATGATATTTTGTGCCATCACCGTCATCCATTCCACGTGCCCCTGCCATTCTGGCGGTTCATTGGATACAGCACTCGGGGGAGGTGCGAGGAGAGACTTCAATAGTGACGAATATGACGAAAGGAGAGACCTAAGAATCGATAGTAGAGCAGGACGTCTGTCTGCGTTAGCGTCGGTGAGTAAGATGCAAAAGATAAATGAGCCGGATGCTCACCGATAGTAGTGTCTGCAGGGTACAATTGTTGGCCTCCCAATTCACCAAGAGATGGAATAGTTTCCTTCACCTAAGGTAGACATTAGTAAATACAAGAATTGGTCTCTACATTGTACACTCACGAACCAAGTATCACCAAAGACATTATACTGTCCATCTTCTAGGATCCAGTCGGCGCGAGGCTTCTCCAGCTGCGTCAATGGCCAGTCCGGGATGTCATTCTGATCAGCGAGGACCTGCTTCTGGTCATTCTGCGTTTCGCCAATATCTTCAGTTTGTCGCTCGCGTAAGAGGGTCAAGAGTTTGAGATTATGCGAGGTATAGTTGGAATAATGTGAAGGAGGGGAAGGAAAGGGGTTCCTCAATTCCGTTTCCTCTTCATCGTCCATCGTGGACAGAGTTGAAAATCTATAGTAGAATTGCAATCGAGAAAGCAAGTTGCCGAGCTGATGTTTCCCAATTGGTCGGAGGCGGTGTCAGCACTGCCTTTCAATCCATCGCTTCGTTCCTCCTGCCTGTGAATTGAGTGGGACCAGCCGTCCTAGATATCATTTCCTACCAACTTGTCCGTATCCCTCAGATATCCAGGACGGCTGGACACGAGCCTATGTCAAGGAGGAAGGCATTAAAACTTTCCCCTATTACATAGTGCATTTATTTAATATGGATGCACAAAGCTGCGTCTATGATTATGGCCGAGTGGCGAAATGGCATCGCGTCAGTTTCCGGTATCAGATTACGTAATATTGCTTACGTAATTAAAAAGCTGAAGATTGTGGGTTCGAGTCCCATCTTGGTCGTAGAATTTTTCTGCATCGTATTATACTTTTTTCCCGACGTTTGTGCTGCTTTTCCTTCGTTTTTCACTCCTCTGGATGCTCGTATTTCAAGTGAGGCCGGTACACGTATCGTTTTGGGCAGTGCCACGTGCAGGTGGCTTTTTAAACTCCGAATGCCTTTGCGTTGTGTTGGAAAATGAAAAGACTTCGCGTTGGTGCAGTTACAGTGAGTCCTAAATAATGTTCATTCATAGAATAGATAGAATAACAATGCGCAACCTCAGTAATCTAAAGTTTTGCTTTCACAGGTGCACCGGGCCCTCTCATCTGCTTTGCCTTTTCTCTAAGCAAGCGACGTAAGAGTTTACCGCTTGGATTCTTCGGAATCACATCTAAGAATTCAACACCACCCGCAAGCCATTTGTACTGGATCTTCGCGTCGGAGACATGCTGGAAAATAATACATAAAGTCAGAAGAATGACGGCGAAACATTACACACAATAACGAACCTTTGATATCGACGCCTTGACCTTCTCAGCCTCGGCGGGATTCTTCTTGACGCGCTCAGCGGTAGTGGCTTCCAGCGTAACGAAAGCTAGGGGCACCTCGCCGCTGTACTCGTCAGGGATACCAACGACGCATACATCTGCGACGTCGGGATGGTCAAGCAGGTGACCTTCAAGTTCTGCGGGTGCAACTTGGAAGCCGCGAACTTTGAGGATTTCCTGTAAGAAGCTCAGAAACGGTTGGTTGAATCTATGAAAATAAAATTTACCTTTAGACGGTCGACAATGAAGACATTGCCTTCCTCATCGAACTTGACCTCGTCACCCGTCCGCACCCATCCATCCTGGAAGGTCTCTTTCGTGCTGAGAAATTGAATTACTCGATGCGAACCTCTCAACACAACCACGACAACTCACGCTTGTTCATTGTTGCTGTAGCGTAATGCCATTTGAGGGCCTTTCACTACAAGTTCTCCCTCTTCGCCCACACCAGCCAATGCTCCGTCGGATTTTATTACCCGTGCAACACAGCCAGGCATCAGCTGTCCGGCGCTTCCAAGCTTGCCTATATGTTGGGTTATTGGGACCATGGACACTGTGGTACAAGTTTCGGTCATGCCTAGATAACGTTTTGTATTTTCAGCGCATATAGTCACAATGAGTTGTTATAGTCCATACCATATCCTTGGCCGATAGTTGCGTTCGGTAAGACTTTTACGAGTTGCATCGTAAGTTCTGCAGACAATGGTGCGGCGCCTGACATTGCGAATCGGACATGCTTCAAATTGAATTTCTTCGTCGCTGGGTGCTAATTGGGGGTTAAGGATTTAGTTTTATATTAACAGGGAATATATCACCTTGCATAAGAGGACAGCCTGAGGAGGAACGAGGCTGTGTTGTGCGCAGATTAGCCATTTGGATAACTGGAAAATGAACGACATACAGCAAATGCGTGATCTTATATTTGTCTATACTCTTGAGGTATTCCAAGAAGTTGAACTTGGGTATCACAACGATCGAGACCTAAATTTCCAGATGTAAGCTCCTAACAATAGATTCGACGTTGCTTCTCTAGCTTACCCCCGAAAATAATAAAAAGTGTAACTATGGGTTGTGTTAGGGTCTACGTCTTCCGAATAAAGCGACGACTCACATTTATCACGAGTCCATAGATATCTTGAAAAATTATGAGCTTTCAAGCTGCGATCACTTGTCTGTTAAGCTTACGGAAGAAAGGCAAAACTACACAAACTGTAAGCACGCATGACGACGAGACAGAAATACTACATACCTGCAGCAGCGACGTCGCCCACGCGGAAGCGGCGCTTCTCCCAGCTGGTGTAGTCTTCATTCACTTTATTGAAGTTGGCCATCTGAATGACATTAGCCATAACCGCGTAGTGCGGTATCGCAACGGCCTAAAGAAAGAGCTTAAAACTGATCCTCGCAATTTAAGCTTCTAGTTTACCTTCGGTTTGCCGGTGGTGCCTGATGAAAAGCAGTAAAATGCAATTTTTGTCTTCGCCTCGCCAGGGTTGAGTCTTCGTTCGGTGAAACATTGAGGACGTTTCAGACCGTCTGATACGAGGTCGTCGATCGTCGAAAACGGAATGGGTGATGGTCGGCTCAAGCTCTGCATGAGTACGATGTGATCTGCAGCAATTCCCGACTGTCGACCAGCCGCGAGTGCGATGTCCACCACATCGGGATGGCAAAGGAGAAGCTTGGACTTCGTCGTATCCAGCTGGTACGCGAGTTCGTCGGCAGTGTAGTTCGGGTTCGCGGTACTGTTGAATTTATTAAGCTTTGGTGCATCTTGATGCGAGTTTGAAGCACGTACGAGACAATTGCGCCTAGTCTGTGCGATGCCCACGCAGCAACGGGATAATCTAAAATGCAACAGACATCTAAGCCTCCCTCTGATTCGAAGACACAAATAAACTCACCAACGTGGTTTGAGGAGAATATGCAGACTGACAGACTTCAGACACAATTAGCCAATGAATAGCTGCTTGCTCACCAGTGTCGCTTTCATCTAAAATCGAGTATTATTAGCGAAATACACACAAGAAGTGGTTCGGGACGCACTAATTCCCCAGCGTCCGTGAAGCGCGTTCGCGAGTGCATAGGTCCGTAGACGAAGCTAGGAATGCCCAAGTCATTTCTCTGACCGCAAACCTCTACAAACGCGTCGAAATCGTACCTCTTCGTATCCGATGTTCCTCCCGGTCGCATCCTCGATAAGCCACGGCACCCTCTCTGTCCTCCCTGGTCGTTCGGTGTGGTATGAATCGAGGAAGAACTGGGGAACGGTGAGGTCGTCCGGAATAGGGGGGCAAGGACCGTGAAGCGAGTGGAATTCGGTCATCGTCGCGTACAGAACGAGCTAACGCGCTGCGGGCTGCCTGTGTCGATGGTCGTGGAACGTGGAAGAGCTGAGATAGAGCAACATAAGCCTTTCCACGACGCGCTGTAATATATACACTCGATTCGGACCATCATTGGCTCCGTCAATCTCGTCGTGGCGGCTATGCACATGCCGATTGCCGGCATTTAGAAGGCACTCGCTGGACTCGGACGGAAGCTTGTCTGCTACAAAGCATCAAACTCCCTACCCGGAGAGACAGTTCACTATATGCTTTTCAACAGATACTCCAGGAGTTTGTATTGCCAGAAAGAAATATGTTTTCATGCACAATCGTATGTCCTTCAGATCGGATACCCAGCTCGCCGGATAAAAGGTATATCGTGGGGTCATGTGTGTATCGTCAAAGAAAGGGGGAAATCAGTTGCCTCGGGCAAGGCGTATCGCCGCAAACTTTCGAGTCTTAAAAATTCATGTGTACAACTTACTATTACCCGAACTGATGCATGAACCAATGCTAACCGCGTTTTAACGTTGCGGATGTCTGATACGTTGCGCTCGGGAAACGTAGGATTTCGTTCGTCAAATCACAGGAAAGGGACTTGACCACACAGTGACGATGATGAGGACGGATAGACTTCCCCGCAAAAAATACGAATTTCCCGACTCCGATACGTCGGAGCGTACAGAGAAATTATGAGCTCGTGCTGAAATTTGTCACCGGATTACCAGTGCTCCCAGATTAAAGTAGATTCTCCAAGCCTTCGGTAGTCCCGAGCCTCCCAAGTGCAACCAGCAAGGCCTCCATGCCGTCATATCTCGTCGAAGTCGTCGGCGTTGAAGAGACACTGGGACTCCGGTTACAAACGCCTTGCATGATATGTGCTGGGGTAAGAATCCTTTTCCTTGTCATAGCAGACGACTGCTTCGAATTCTTATCCTTTCTAGAGGATGGCAAAGCGGAGCGCGGAGGAGCACCTGGTGGTAGCGGTTGCTGCTCTGAAGCACGCACGCCCCCATCGACGAGCCGTCGAATGAGTGTCTTTGTTGCAAGCGCGAGCACCGCGGATGGCCCCAAAGCCCCGAAAAGATCGTCAGCGTCATGCAGACCCTCTGGTCCCGCCTTCCAAGTTTTCAAACACGGGAGCTGCAAAGACGACGCGACACGATTTACAGCAAGCGTTAATGTTGGGTCCACCGCTGTCGCGAGCTCTCGGTTCGAAGGGGTAGTACGAGGAGCTGCAACTTTCAACTTCTTCTGCGCAGGTCGTGGGGGCACTTTCGGGATAGGATTGCGAGCACGCAGTAAGTGTGCGTCGAGAAGTGGCGGTCGGCGCATCCATTCAGGGAGAATGCAATAGACGGGGCTCGCTCGACCGTCGATCGTCGTTGCTTGGGGATGTAGCGACGACAAGTATCCGCAGACGGCGCAGTACAGCTCAGGTGTCTCCGCGGTCGCCTTTTCCTTCCCCTTTCCTGAGGAGGCGTTCGCATTCGCGACGACTTGCGGTTTGGGGAAATGCCCTTCCTGCTCCAACCAGCGGTAAACATCAAGAGGGCTCGAGATCGTATTTTCAGATGGCTGAGCAGGCGTCGGGGTGTTGCAGTACGCTTCCCAGATGGCCCTTGCACGACCCCACTGCGAAATCCATTAGTGACCCCGCCATTTGACAATGACGTCGCGACAAGATACCTGTATTGCCTTTCGTCTTCCAGGGACCATCTCAAGGAAATGAGCCGCCGACTGCGGGAGAAGGTACGGCACTCGAGGCGCGGTCCGCAAACTGCCACCTAAGATGTCTCATTTAAAAACAAATTTTACTTCCCCATTGTTTATCAAACTACCTTTCCGTGTCATAGGAAATCTTGGCAACAAAGCCTTCAATCGGATGATGTGCTCTGCTCATGGATTAGCGAGGTACGAATCATAGGACGACGACAGGTACTACCTGCGTTCGACTCGGCACGTTTCGTCGAAGAACTACCATCGGCACGGCGCTTTTGGTCCGAATCGGAGAACCAATCCATCTCCCATTTATCTTCTCTTCTAGGTAGGAAGACCGTATTTCTATCGAGTTCTACGTCGACATACTGCTCGTCGCCGAGGACCGGTTTTGGTGAATGATTTAAATCCATCTAAAAATATTGT